TGCTAAAACACAATGAAAATGTAAACACTTTTGGATGCATGTCTGAGTATAGATGTTTTTTTATTGAATTTGAAATCCTTTTTAAGAAGTCATAATGAAAGTTATGCAATACCTACTTAAATGTTTGTGAATCACTATAGGTACATAATTGTAACTCATGGACGTATCTAGAGGAACCCCAAAAAAAGGTTGAATGATGACACCGTTCATATCAACTACTGGCCACATTATACCAGAACGTTTAATTGAAATCAAAAGACTATAACAATAATAGTACAGGGGAATACCGCCTATACCGTTTAAAAATTAAAAAAAAATTATTTCTTTCTCAAACACAAGCACAAACCTTACTTAAGGGGGCCCAAAGTTAAAAATAATACCATTTTAGGGAGACTGGAGTCCGTACTAGGTACTAGACCTGTATTACAGCTCACCAGACTCTCACCCTATCTAACAACTCATACATAATTATAAAGAGTCTATAATATAGACCATAGCTTTCGTGATAAAATTACCGATCTGACTTTTCCATAATTATCTATGCGAAAAACAATTCTCTCGTAATTCTATTCTTGCCAGTGTTAACGTTTGCCCAGATATTTGTAGTTATTTATCAACGTAAAACAGATTCCAATGGAATAAGTGGTATTCGTGGTATGAACACAGATTCATCATTAGCAGTACCAGTTAGGTAGCACTAAAGCTTCAGTGGCGGCCCAGTGGAGTATCTGGATTGGCAGCCTGATTGACCGTCTTCTTTACCGATAGTAGGTATACACTATAGGTAATGCTTGCCATCTCGTGGTGAAGGATTTGCCAATCAGCCTAAGGAGCTCGCCGATTGTTGCCCAGGATACGCCATTCCATTCGAACAAGAATATAATGGTACGATTCGTGTACCCCACGAATTAGGTTGGGTGGATTAAAGACAAAGTGTACTTATATGTTCGGGGAGACTAGGAGAATCTAATTGTATTTAACGGAACGAACAAGTCGTGCGCCTGATGGTAACACACGTTACAAGCCTGTCCATAACAGTTGCAGTGCCAATTAGAGCTGTAAATCGCAAAGGTGTGGAGGCACTGCCACTGCGCCCGTCACCTTGAGACAACTTGATAACTTCCATGTGTCTGTAAGTCCCACGTTTTTTCCAGTATAAATCTTACCGAATAAACAGTGGCGCATACATAAGTATAGAATCGTTCACACGGTGTTTGTCCTGCAAAGAACCGCACACAGCTCTGTATGTTTATCGAATACGCAACGGACTTGTCAAGCCCATTGAATAAACTTTAACGTATTCGGTGTGCAGTGGCGCACAGTATTAATGCATCTCATCCACACGGCGCGACGTCACACGTTTTTTTATCGAATAGTCACCGTACAAGCGGCACCTAGTATTGAAGTATCTTTCGGAAGGAGGGCACGCATAATTTTATTAATACAAAATGACCGGCGAATCTTCCGTAGATAACGATTTATTGATATCTTTAGTGTAACAAAGGCCTGTTTTTTTTCATCATTTCTCAGATTTTCGTACAATATTTCAAATGTGTTTGTACGCACTGCTTATTGACTCATTGGCTGAACGCAATACGCCGTCGGCGTCTTCTATGTCGATATAAAAGTGCAACAAAGCGTGGATCCATCACATTGCTGTGTGACTATTTGAAAATATATTTTCAACAGGATATATCCTGTGAACACACCACTGCCGCTGTCTATCCGTTTATAATCGAATACGTTAAAAAACGTGCCGTGTGTACGAAGACTTACCCTTCAAAACCGGAACACAGCAATACTGTTATTACTGCTTGGATACAGAATAGGTAAGGTGGCAGTACTTCCCTGGACGAACTCTTTCTAAGTAGGTCGTAGGTAGTCGTAGGTAGTCGTAGGTAGTCTTCATCGCTCTGGATCACCGAGTCCCATTTGTTCACCTTCATAGGAATCAAGTTTTTTTTTTTAATTGCGTCAACGAATTTATTATTTTGGTTAAAATAGCACCCTTTAACGTCATTGACTTTTGGTGAGAAGAAGATAAAGGAAACAAAGAAAATACATTCATTTGACTACTACAAACGACACCACACAAAAAAAATACTAAACAGAAAAAGGAACACACCTAATGAAAACATTTGAATGTTTTCATTATGTTTTTAGTACCTATTTGTAAGAGACAAATAATTAGTTACAAAACAAAAAATAAAATGCGCCGATTATTTACATAAACTGCTCTAAGTATAAAGATACCTTGTATGATGCCAAGAGCGGTAACAAAGGGATCACTAACTCAGTGTATGCTTGATTTCTTTTGTGTATTTCACAATAAACTTTCAAAGTTAGCTTTGTTTTACCAATTACAACTGTACCTAAGGAAGATGGTATAATAACTTCGTCCTCAAGGAGTTTCTTACAACTCTCCGTCACCAATTTCAACAAGAACCCAGAAAATTTTGAAAACGCTAGTGTTTTTTTGACCACAATTTTTGCGCAACTGCCCATAAATATTAATATTTTATGCAAGTCTCCACCTCATCTGCACGCGTTTGTCTCTAAATCACTTTCAACGTCTGCCGAAAATCACCGGCTAGTATAGATAACCGATAGGTTAGACGTGGTCTAACCTGGCGGTGTGGGTGGATTTCCCTAACATCTTTGGGAGTCCGGCTCAGGGCTTCAGACTAGATACTTGTTGTGCCGTGGTACCTACTTTCATCCCAAATAGTAAGTTTGCTGTTACTGAGCTTATTTTATCTCTTTAAATTATCTGTCAAATATTTATCTACATAGATTAAGACTCATAATTATATAATAATAATAATAATAACGCGTACATACTCATAGCCCCGCACTAGGGAAACCCTGTATAGCGGGTACCATGGACACACACATAGACAACCGCAAATTACACCCAAACTCACGAGAGATATAAATGTAGGCCTTACAAATATTTGTCCCAGCCCGTGAATCGAACCCGGGACATCTGCGTGGCAGTCCCGCATGGTCTGTTCGGCTACGGAGGCAGTTAAATATAAATAGTAAATATCGTCTGTTTAAATGTAAAACCATATAGTGACATTTTTCACAAAAATCTCCAAATTATGTATCAGTTGTAAAAAATTCACCACCTTTCTGTAAATAAAACTTTTATTAAGTTTATAGCTTTTTTGTTATTGAGCTTCACGTGCAGAAAGATAGCGATTTTCTTACCATAGCTATACAAATTAAAGACTTTTTGTAGTAAATGTCACTTTTATGTGGTTTTACATTTAAACAAACGATATGATTGTTTTTTTGCTTTTCCGGTGTTCCGGAACGGTTACACGCTCCATGATCACGGGATGACTGGACGGCGGCAGATGACAGCTTTAAGAGCAGACATGTTTACGCTCTTTCGAGCTGTAATAAACAATGACGCGCAGAAGTCAACTACAGAATAACATCTTACTCAAAATGGCATTAACCAATGGATCGAGCTGTATAGCCCCCAAATACTGTACACACGGAACGTCATCGTCACTACGTGGCACACTTGGTACGAGAAGCAATTGAGATCACAATGTGCCTCACGTTCAACCATGAAGACGGATTTAAACTATCCAGTGCAATTAATCCGGTACTCAATCCTTACAAACTTTTTTTTTTAATGAGAATGGCTCGATTTCAGTTTCACTAGTATCATAACTACATATGTCGAAGTCGATGATATGATGTGTGTGGTTTGTTGGAAAAAAAAATACAATGGTAACACCACCAGTAATCGAGATGATGGTAGTCGTCGAGAACGAAAGAGAGTAGACACATATGTAGATGTTCTCAAAGCTGTCATCTGCCGCTGGCCAGTCAACCCATGACCATGGAGCGTGTAACCATTCCGAAATATCGGGAAAACGGGAATGTCTTTTTCATCATACCGTGGTAAGAAACCTTAATTAGTGATAACCATTTGTCAACAATTTGGTCAATATTTAGCGAAACTTTTAAAGATCTTTTTCAATGAAAATATTTTTAAATATGCGTGTTTGATATTATTGACACATACGCTTTTCTATATGTCTATTCAATTAGTCTTCCAGGTAAAACGTTTGTACTAGCGCGGCAGGCGAGCTATATAACTTGGGACTTGTCAACTTACATCTCAGTGGCGGGCGCAGTGGCAGTTCCCATAACATCTTTAAGAAACACTGAATGGCACTGCAACTGTTATGGATAGGCGTGTCGCTGACCACCAGGCGCACGACTTGTACATCCTGTCACTGGTTTATAAAAAAAATTAAGGTGGGCCCTATAATAGGGCGCCGTACTTATTAACATAAATATAAGTCGCTCTAATTTCTTATTACACCTCCCTAAGTTAGAATTAGCCTTGGTACACACGGTATTGCCCTGTACGTTTTTTAACGTATTCGATTATAAACGGCTATCCGTTTATAATCCGCTATCTGTACAGCGGGGTGTTCACATGATATATTTTCAGAAATGATGAAAAATATTTTTTTATTACTTTCGAATGTCAGTAGATTAGGTCAATACACTTTTGACAATTTATTAAAACTTATGGAGAATTCGAGGTTTACCAAAAATAAATACGAATAGGTACTTCAATACTAACTGCCGTTTGTTCGGTGACTATTCGATAAAAAACTTACTTCGCGTGTGTGAAAGAGATGCATTAATGCTGTGCGCCACTGCATACCGAATACGTTAAAGTTCATTCGGTTTGCTTGACCGTTACGTCTTCGATAAACGTATAGAGCTGTGTGCGTTTTTTGGCAAGACAAACACCGTGTCGAACGGTTCTATTTCTAATGTATGTGCCACTGTTTTATATTGCAAAAAAACGTGCAGTACAATGCCGTTTGAATGGGGGATTAGTGTCCCTTGAAATCGTGTCTTGAAAAGGCGTTTTAAGGTAACACAGTGGTCAAACCACGCTCAGCTACCAAGTAATTTTACGTCATATTATATAGGGTTTTAAAATTAAACAACTTTTTCGGAGTTACCACATATAACGGAAACGTTTATTTAATAATTAATAATTAATCATTCTTATACTTAATTCTGTGTTTAAAATCTTAACACCATCACTTATGTTACGAGCATAATAAATGACAATGCTATGAGAATAATTTTAAAACTTCTACTAAAAGTGAACTTTTTAATTAACGCTATGTAAATTTAAATTCGGTTTCCAACTTGTGAACTAATAAAGAGAAATTCATTGAAAGTAACAACTTAAATTAATAAGAAATAATACTTCAGACAGTAAGACACTTCCAGGCAGATTTCAAAAGATCTATTATGATACGAACGCGTAATAAATAAAAATAGTGTAAAAAACAGAACATGATATACATACTTACATTAGAACAATACTCTTATAATAACATCGTAAAGAAATATTGTCAAAGTCAATATTCAAAAGATGTTCATTTGTTGAGTTCATCGAAATATCCACCATCATATCAAAACATCTGGCAAAACTATGTACGGGTGAAATAAAATCGAACGGTTCGAAAATAGATTCCAACCAACGATCTTATACACGTAAATTGTATACGAACGTAATTATATACGTATCTATTTTTCTACAACAATCTGGCCATCGTCAAAAAAACTTACTGAATCAACCATCCATACAAAAAAAACCACCAAAAAATATAATTTCTCACACAAACGTCACTAAATACTTAATATATAATAATTCATGCAATTGAACGTTAAGTAGATTTTACGCATTAATTTCCATTAAAAATAATAATATAGTATCTATTGTACTGTACTTATACATATGTATGTTATAATCACTAATCATAAGTTGATAAATCACAAAGATATGCAAATAGATATATAAGGGCAAAATATATTCCAATAAAATTACGAACTGCATCTACCTTCATCTAAATACTTTTACGTACATTCAGCGCATTGAAATGGCTTATAGTTAATGGAATCATTAATTCAGAACAGAACATTAACTTAACCATCGTCGTTCGTTTCTAAATTTGAATCAAATGGATATGCGAGAGCACATACAATGGTTGGTTTGAATAATAGATAACAAAGAAGTGAATCTGCCATGACGAATGCAAGGCAGGTCAAATTCAATGTTCTCTAACTAAATAATGCAATACACCAGTAAAAGATACGCTCTCGACATGATCACAATATTAAACAATATTAAAAAAGTGTAGCTGAAGTATAAACTTTAAGTTAAAAAGTTTTTTTTTCACCCCATATTATATATCTAGAGAGCATATTTCTGAATAGAAATGTATTACAAACTTGGCGTTTATTTGAAGCTACCTCAAGCCAATTTTCCCTCAAGCGTAATTCAAGGTTGCCAGCGATACGAGAATTTTAGATTACATATTTTTTTATTTCTGGACAAACTATTATTCCATTATGTGTAATACCGCCATAGAGCGTTGTCACGTAATCTAAGTACTGATTTTGTTTTAACATAATCGATAAAGTGATAAGTCGAACGACATCAGAGGTGGCAGACAAGAAAAGTGCAGCAGCTGTGGCGCCGGCGCCAAACTCTACTGATTGACTCAACTGTTATACAAAATGAATAAAGTAAATTCAATATTTATTCATATTATTAACTAAAAAAATCGAAGTTCGCGAATTTCACAAGTTTAAAACACAGTTGTATACATATAGCAACCCTAGAATCTTAGAACAATAGAATCTTGAATAAGGAAGCATGTATGCTTTTTACCTCATGCTATCAGTCATGCAATACTTTCTTAAGGTAAAACACGTATTTCATGTAGAGTATTGACATTGGTTAGCCACTTGAAAAACAATGATAGTACTCTACTTAGGAATTGTAAGAATTCTTCTTTATAATACGAATGTGGACTTGGAACTACACTTGTTCAGGCAGACATACATTAGGCCAAAATAATTTTATTAAAAAATGTCTTTTGTGCAAAGTAATATTAAAAAACTACAAACAATAAGAGCACGAAATCATTGACACTTCGGACTGTTCTTATCAAGGGCTCAGGACTGTAAACTCAACTTTATCTAATGCATTTATTCTGAGTGTGACATTTTAGTATCATTTACCATATCATATACCACACAAGAAAAAATACATAATAGATCTTTAAATGTATTGTATCATAGAGTACGGTTATCAAAGTATAATAATACATACTGTTCTTTTTTGTACGAAAGCAAGACTAATATTTCTTGCTTAGTTCCTATTTGCTGAACACGACAATGCACTTTGCAATTTGGGTACAAAATAATTTTACTATCAAAATAAATACATTACGTAAACTTGAGCAAGATAGTCCGTTATGCCAATCCTAAAATAAGTAACTTACCAAAAAAAATACTATTATTTATGTATAGATCAAATCACTCATTCGCATTACAAATAAAACTCACACGTGCTTGAGAGTATTAAATAAAAATGGAATATAAATAAAAATAACCCTCCCTATCTGTTTACATAGAAGTGGGTGACCAGAAGTTCATCTCTCGCAACTCCGATGGCTTTGGGCGGAACGCGTGAGCTGGTTTCGAGAGCTTAGGCTGTTGTGTAACTTCGCTTGAAAGGACATTTGGCTCTTTGCCTTTTGGTGCTGGACCGAGGTTTTCCACAGATTCCGCTAGAGAACCACCTGGAAAATAATAAATGGATAAAAATAAACACTCTTTGTTTTTTTTATAATATCAAGCGGCGGGACGAACAAGTCGTGCGCCTGAGCTACACGCCTGTCCATAACAGTTGCAGTACCACTCATTATTTTAAATCGCAAAGATATGAGGGGTACTACCACTGCGCCCGTCACCCTGAGACATAAGTTGACAAGTACCATGTGCCTGTAATGTCACCAGCACCCTTAACCTTCAAAATCAGAACACAGTAATGCTGACTTGACTGCTTGGCGGCAGAAATAGGTAAGGTGGCGGTACTTCCCTGCACGAACTCTTTCACAAGGAGCTCTACTGCTACTATATATATATTATGCCAGCAATTCACAGTAACTGGTCCTAAGCAAGGGAATTACTTTGTACACTTCAAATACAAAAGCAACTAAACTAAAACCGAAAAGACACTCGAAAACATCCCAACTGGACCAACCGGGAGTTTAACTTGGGGCCTCCTCGAGTGAACCTTCTGTATGAGATCAACTATTGTTGTATTATAGTTTTTAATGAAATGACCCGATAGAGGTTAGTATTCAATTCAAAACAATAAACGATTGTCTTTACAATTGCTATTGTTTTTTTTAATGCATAGTTGGTAATAAGATTCACGTTTTGCCAGGAGTCAAAACATAGAAAATAAAGTTCACGTTTGAAGTCAACAGAATAAAATAAAACTATAAGCAATTTAGATGTGTGAAAATATACAAATATGTATATATTATGTTAAAGCTTTTTCCGCTGATTTTATTCCGTTTGCTTTTCAAACAGTGCAACAATTCGATGGTTTTCGAGAATAGTGACCTATCTCAAAAACACCAAATTCTTCAGGAAGATGGTTTAAAAAACTAACAGAGTCGTATTTGACATGCAAAGCCGGCGAATAGCATTATGTTACCCTGTAGATTGCATTCTAGAATAGCGGCTTATCTCAAAAACTCCAAACTCAAAACTCGGTATCTTATTCCCATTGACCTTTAATGCTTATTCCCAATAAAATAATAAGTCAACAAATGAAATACGCATTTTGGTTTCGACCACTATTACTTGAAAAGTATCTATGTAATGAGTTTCTAGAAACACTTGTACCACCATTTGGCGCCATCTATGCAAAGATCCGTACACTGCTTTACAGTTAAATATGGGGATTTTTAATGCATGTAGGTGTTTATGGCATGAAACATTATTCTTAAAGCGCTTTTACAAATCACATCTACTAACTACATTGTACTAACGAAATTTGTTTTGTTTATCTGTTCTACTATGTACACTAAGCCCACGTACAAACCACTCGTTCTAATTAAGGAAGTTTATCAGTAAAAAATTACTTTATCAGTTACCAGTAAAATAACAAACTTCTGACTAAGTTCGCACAGTTACCATTAGTTTTAAAGGTGTTAGTAACTCTTGACAGCACAAGACACGCAGCGACTACAAGACCTATGAACACCTATTTCTGCATGTAAAGCAGACACGCAATTGAAGTTAAACTGGCATGACAGGAAGGTGGTACTTGGACACACTGAGTTTTCTAAAAGGCACTGTGGATCAAAGTTGTCACCAAAAACAATAGTCATATGAAAGTAACTGACCGTGTAACCTGGCCTCAATAGCGTCTTCCTCTGCGAGTGTTGAAGTGGAAGCGGCGAGATCCTTCTTGAAACCGAGAAGGGCCATGGTGAGCCAGGAGCGGTTGCTGCCGTCCCCGACTGGCTCGAACGGAGACGTGAAGTAGCTAAAAAAGATTGTTCATTGATTAAAATATCTTACTACGAACTTCTATTCGTTCGTATTTTAGTCAATCTCACTTTTGTCGTTTCTTTATCACCATATCTGATTTTGCGATAAAAACTTTTAACTGGTGAGGATGATGAAAAACAACTGTTAGACGATATCGAGTAACCCAGTACTATAGAACAGACTGTGAACTAAAATGGTGCAACGCTTATCATATCCATAAACTTTCTTATCACACGTCAGGTTAAAAGTAATATTGATACGATAAGGAAAAGTACTCCACCTACCGCGGCCATTTAAAATCATGCTATTCGTCCAATCTATAGGTGTGTTTTCACGTACTAACGAATGTACAACACAATGGAAATAATATATCAAAAGCTATATGAATGTATAAATACATATGAAGCAACAAGGACACATTGCAAACTGGTTCTGAATGTCAAGTAATGAATAACGATTCACCGTATTCGAGAAACCACAACTAATATTGGAATTATTATTGAACAAAACAGTACACTATTAGCCATTTAATTCGACGAGTTACGGTTATAATATACTATACAAACAGAATCTAGAAGCATAGTGGTGACTCTCTACAAAAGAGTAGAACTTAACGAAAAAAAAAATAAGGAAAAAAGTTATTTGAGACATTTCCATAAAAATTCATTTCATGTATTACGCAAGTCTTTTTCAATGTACTGTTAAAGTCGCTACCAACAGCGTAAAATATTCATATGAGTAATTTTAATTCTCGTTATAATCGCCAAAGGCGTTGTTCTATTCGCCATATTTGTACAGTGTGCTGAGACGTCCCGAGAAGAACTAAAATTGACACATGTCAATATTTAAATCTATCTCTAAAGGTTTCATCACTGTAAGGCTTTTCATGTTTATCAATTATCGTCTTGAATTGTAACAGTGATCGTAATCGCCTTTAAAAATAAAGGTCATAGAAATATTATTGAGTCATATAAATGGTTTAGGACGGCGTGATTAATTCCAAGGCCAACATTGAAATTTTTCCGTTCTTATATAGGGTATCGCTATCAATAAAACATGTTAATCAAATGTATTCATAGGAAACTTCCTATTGATAAATATGAATGTGATTATAGAACAACAAATAAGGCAAAAACAGTTGATGTTGACAGACTACGAATGTAAAAGTACCTTTGTAAACATTATACGGTAAATTTCCTTTCCATAATGCAATATAAGATTTATTATTTATTCCTTATTGACATGTCTCAATTTGCTACAATCAATTAATAATTAACAAAGGAAAACAAAAGTGAAACATAGAAATTGTTACACTGACAAGAGCAACGGTCTTAAATGGAAGACAATAATGTTCACATTATACATATGTACTGATTGTGACGTTAATCACGGTGCGTCATTTTGACAATTGAACAAATACTTTCCGTTTTATTTTTATTTTAGGTGGCAACAAATTTTTCACTTACCGGTTACCATTTTTTCGTCTCCGACTGGTTGGACTCGAGTGAGGGGATTGCAAGGGAGTGGTAGGCAAACTCTTGCTGCCTCGACGAGCCATCAAATTGTAATGCTGAGCTTCGGCACTGATACTTTCCGCGTCGTCTGCTGGGGCCGCCACTGTGTAACCACGGGATTGAGGAGTAACGCGGGTGGATATCATTTGATGTGCGACCTGGAAATATATAATACTATTAATGTTGTCCGACATCAATCAACAAAGTCACTGACTTTTTAAATAACCTACTAAAATTCATATTTATTTAACGTTGAGTTCTTAAGTTTTCGCGATTATTCCACTTTAGAATTCATGCTTTTTAAAAAAATAATCGCACATATCTGTATTTTCAAAAATAAACCAACGTTTCAGATTTCTCGACTCCGTGGTCAGCTGTGGCCAGAGGATCTGTAAAAGGTTTGAAATGTTGGTTCGTTTGAAAAAACACAAAAGTGCACGATTAGGATCCGAAAAAATAGTTTCCAGTCAAAAATACTTTTTATTAATAACATAAAGTTGTAATGAAATTCAATATATTTGTTTTTTAATTATTTGATTTACTTTAACGTTTATTATTTACTCAATTTTCAAGGCTGATGTCATTTTGGTTAATTTTAGAATATAATAGAAATAGAAAGAAAAGAATGATAGAAAATAACACGCGATAATATTAAGCGACCTTTTTTGCTCGCAGAACTTTTTTATTATTATACTAAGCGACGGTATGAACAAGTTGCAAAGATCTGTGGGACACGGCCTCTAAATGGCCATCATTATTTAACAAAACCAATAAACTAATAAATATTTACGTTATTTTTATTAAATAACATTACTATAGTTACTTACTTTATTTACTCTTTAATTGAAAAATTTATAAATATAAAAATGTGGGTTAATTAAACATAAAACCTTAATCTGATACAACAAAAAGTGTAATGACCAATTAGTACATGTAACACAGTTTAAAGAAATTTGTGTCACCTCAATTTTTATTAGAACGTATTCAATTTTTAATCGCTTCTTAAATTATCACTGTTAATTCCAACGTCACTACTACCAAACTAAAAACGTTTTGAATTGCCTTTGTTAGTATTATAATTTAACATATTACAGTGTTGTTGTGACCCAGCTGTATTCACTGACAACTCATTACTATTTATTTAAGTCCGCACTTTGCATTCGGTCGCGTTTTACGGAAACGAGCAAATAATATACCGTTCTCTCTTGACAGTAAGTAACAGAGTGGTTGCAAGAGCTAGGTTATGATGAGACTGAAAGGTTACTGACTGCTCCACTTTAGTTACACGTAGATATTTAATTTTTAAATAAATAAATTGAACACACACAGACATTCACCCAACCCACAATGGAAATAGAAAAAAAAACTAATCCTACTAACACTTGATTTCAACACTTTTCTTTTTCCTGTAAAATTAATTAAACTTGATTAATTGTTTCTCCCACGGTCACCGCATTGGAGAGTTGTTTTTTTTTCTCCTTACAAAGGTTACAAAGTGTTATAAAGTGATTTACATTAAATGCTAACCAAATTACTTAACTACTACTAAGTTAGTTACTTAAATAAGTATTAATAATACCTTTGTAAGAGACTGGAGCCCATGCTAAGAATAAACTTGTGTGACAGATGTCCAGGAAATTGTAGAGGGCAAAGTAATTTTGGTTCTCTAGCCCGTATCTATCTCGTCTATTAATGAGTTATATTCATGTGGACGACAAATCTGCCATCCGCTAACTATCGCGCGGCAAAAAGTGACAAATATTTTTTTGAGATATCATAAAAATCCCGTTTTCAGAATACTGTATTTGTTTAATGATATTTCAGCTTGCATCGTTAGGGTAAGTTCCAATAAGTCGAACACGTTAACAAATTTTCATTGTTTTTTGCTATTTAAAACGGTTATTTGATCATAATTGTCACTTAGCCCTGTTTTAGTTAGTGGACGGCAGAAATTATATATCATATAATTATATCAAACCACTACCGACACTAAACGAAACTCTCGCTTTCTCAAACTCAAACCTAATTTCACAAACTTTAACGGACATTTCCCAAAACTTTAGTTTTTGTTTAGAAACATTATAGATTTAAACGTGCGATAAATAAAAAAAATAAACATACCGACGATTTATAGGAGAATATTCGCTTATGACTTATCAGACTAGTGTTGAGTAATTAACTGTCCGAAAAATTTCTAATTAAGGAAAAATTCAAATGTTTTTCAAAAAAGAAATAAATATTACAGGAGAAAAACATTTGTACTTATTTTTTTTATGTGGATATTTTTCCATGACCCAACACTAGTTACGCCAGAAATGTCAGATACACAGCAAGAGAGTGACGATATTATTAAGAAACTCTTCAATCCTGTAAGTCATTTAAATTTTTACTTTATTTTTATTTATGTTTTTACTATGGTAACTTTTTAATTGATTAGTTAGACACGTTGGAAAAAAACAATTTTTTATTTTTTGGATCTAAATCGCGTATGTTTTTTTTTTTTTCAAACAAACCAACATTTCGGTGGCTTTACATCAGCTGAATTAGCCGCGACTATGGAACCATACACGATTTAGATAGTATTTTCATTTTCAAAGTGTAACAATCGTGAAAACCTAAGAACTCGATAGTTAGGTACAATTACGATATTCTGATGACAAACATGTATACATTATTGAAAATGAAAACATCCGATAATTCAAATATTGATGTCACTGTGTATTAATTAATATTTTATTAAAGTAGTGAACTTGAACTTGAACGAGAACATAAAAGTCAAATACTTAATACTTTACAACGAAATAATTACATAACAATGCTATCGTCAAATTCCGTAATAGTACAACATGTATAGTGTAATAAAATACAAACGTCGTTTTCATTGCAGTTGGAAGTAAAGTATATGAAATATAAAGTAGGTAAAACAAACAGGAATTAGTTATTGGACGACCTCGATGGCCCGATGGCGGTTTGCACTGTGGGCGCTGGAAGAGGACGTTCCGGGTTCTACTCTCGACAGGACCAATTTTGGAAATGAACTTTTTAAAATTATTTCTGGTCTGGCTGTTCTCGGTAGTGCCGCGGAATTATGTTGCTCTGGTGCTCATAGTTCAGAGAATTCCCAAATTTGAGATCAAGTAATTGATGTGGTTGATTGGCACATTATTATTACAATTAGTAATCAAATTATTTTTTACAATGCTTTGGAAGGCCAAAGCAAGAACTAGGAACTGACTGTATAAAGATGTCTTTAAATGGAACTACACCATTAACCTTGTATTACTTATCTATTATGGAATAATTTTTATCACTCCAATATTGTGAATCAAATCAGGTTGTTTATTTGCTGATGAAACAAAATAATAACATTTCAAATGGACAATTAAAAACTATAATCTTTATATTTTTAACCTATTGTAAGATAACCTTTCCGAAGGGGACCTGGACTTATCATAAAGTTTATATAACTTAATATAAATTTAAGAAAATAAAAGGATAGTATAATTTGAATTTAATGCACTGCTTTGTATCGTTACACGAGTATGTAAACAAATAGTCGTTACATTTCATGACTGGTCTTTGTAACATAATAATTATGTAACAAAATATCAAACATAGTATTTTTTTATAATACCAATTGATGGGACGAACAAGTGCGCCTGATAGTAAGCGACACGCCCACAAGCACACAATGTGTCACTTAGAGCTTTAAGTCGGAAAGGTCTTATGGACACTGCCACCGTGCCCGTCACCTTGAGACATAAGTTAACAAGTCCCATGTGCCTAAAATTTCACAAGCACCATTACCCTTCTAAACCGAAACGCAGTAATGCTCACATTACTGCTAGTCGGCAGAAATAAGTAAGGTGGCAGTACTTCCCTGGACGAACTCTTTTACAAGGAGCTCTACTGCTACTAAAAGTATCTGTGTTCCGGTTTTGAAGGGTAAGGGACTTGTCAATTTGTCTCAGGATGTCTAGCGCAGTGGCAGTGCCCCTCAGATATTTACGATTTAAAGCTCTGGTGGCACTGTAACTGTTAGTGACAGGCGTGTAACTACCGTCAGGCGCACGACTTGTTCATCCCGTCACTTGATATTATATAAAAACAAAAAGTAAAAACGAAATCGCGGTAGCAAATATACGCTACATGTATAGATATCTTAAAATATCAAAGTGTGTATATTTTAAATTTCGAAAAAGTGTTTTTTTTTTAATTAAACTAACGGATAACTCACGTTTTAAGTCGAATTTCTGTCAGGGCTTTGGCGCACAGTTTCCATGATTAATACAAATGACTAACCTAACCTCCGGTTAAAAAAACCGACCTCAAAAGTCATTCATCCCCTAGTTTGCCACCCTTAGAGGTGGAATAAAAGAATCGTCAAAATTGGTTGACAAATGGCGGAGTTATCACGTATACATACACACACAAAAAAACATACAGACGAATTGAGAACCTCCTCCTTTAAAGTCGGTTAAAAACCACGAACTTATTCGTAACATATCGAGCAAAAAATCGACTTAAATACGTGAATGATGCGTTAGTTTACTAAGTCAGTATCAACGCCGTTCCTGTTAGTGTCATTGTCATTCGTGCTATGAAAATAACTGGCAGGTTTTTCCAAAAATAAATATCTTGCTCCTGCCTAACCGTTGGCGTCCTCGATCAGGATTAACCGGCAACATACATCGAAACTGTACTGGCTCAAATCTTGTGGCCGCCATGAAGAAAATATTATAATAATAACACCTTTTTGTAATTTATTTTTAAACTCAATTGCTCATTCTGCCTTCTGAATAAATATTATTATGACTTGAATGATTGCGGAAAAAATTAAAATGCTGTGTTTAACACAGCATACGACACTGCCCAGTTTTTACCTGGTATTCCAGAAGCTTCTACAGGAATGCATTATTTAACCGCTTTGGCACTTAATATCACACAGAATGTACACTCTTAGGTTCAACTAACGAATAATTCGCCTATAAATTATTAAAAGTAACAAACACACATTGGCTACCGCTCGCGAGAAAATACAAGTGTGTACTGCAGATAAAGAAAGATTGACTGTTACAATTGTACAGTAAACAGCACATAATTTAGTTTAACTATACACTTTTAACACCGTTAACTACGGGAATTCAAACTAGCTAATCACATGGTTTTTGAATTTAGAATTTCTAGCACACGAGGTAAAAAAATGTACCGACGAAAATGTTTAACCAACTGACCTTAACGACAGAAGTGCCGCATGCCGCACCCTCGCCTTTGAATCCGTCGTCGGTACCCGCAGATTTAGACTTCGATGTTACGGAACTTGCTGTAATAAAACATTACACCACCATCAAATATATAAGTAACAAAGTTAGAAAAATCAATATCACTTGCGATGAAAGCAACAGAAACAACAACCGTGGGAACGACAAAAACCAAAGTAAAAGTCTAAGTTTTGAATGCTATAGAAACTATACCTATCGTTCGACTTACTCACGACCGCCTCGCTTCGTAAGTGTGAAGGCTACATTTGCAAAACTACACAATAGGTCAAATTCTTCTTTAATAATAAAAATAATTCTTCTATTATGCGGGAAACATACAGAGTGCGGGTGCGTACGTCCGACCCGCACCCGCTTTCTGTGTGTTTCACACTTTAATCGACATAGTAAAAGTCGCGAGGAAAATATGGACCAGGGCGCCTACCACAACCTCTTATAACAATGTTACTTTAACATTACATTGACTTTTCGCACCATAACGGGCTTAAAGTAAGCTTATTGTAATGTTAAAACTATTATGTTTTATGGGCAGCTTTGTGACTATTCAGTCACTATGACGTGAGTTTAACATCAAAGTAATATTGTTCTTATGTCAGATTTAGCAATCTTATAATAGTTATACGGATGCAATGGAAACAATATTATTTTCAGTTTTATTGTCCTAATATTGATTTGTAAAGATTAAAAGTTAAGTTGAACTTATTTATTTACATATATCTCTTCAATATTTTGTATTTAATAGCACATAGGAAATAATTTCTCAGTAAATTAAAATACGCGATGTTTATTTCGTAAAATTATGACAGCTATATGCTTCTTGGCGAAACTAACCGTTGACACTAGACTACAGTTCCGAACTCGCAACGTGACTATCAAGACTCAGCTTGTTTTATTTATTTTTCTTCATGAAAATGCAGAATAATTATTGAAAAAAAACGTAATTTTAATCGATTTTATTATTACATACTTTTCTTTTTTTAACAGTCAAAATTCTCTGAATGTAAATAACATTAAGTACTTAAACATTATACTACGATAACACGATTCGGAACATCAAAAAAGAAAAAGATGGCATTATATAGTTCACATAGCGTTACCCCTTTCCTATTTTTAGTAAGGAATAGACAATATTGGAAAATCATTAGTTCTTTCAATCACTATCACTTTTGCAATAGTACAATTACTTGGTTGACAGGTTCGTCATGCTTACATTATATATATACTTGAAGCTTACATTGAAATAAGATTGTTTTTGGAAAAGTTATGGTAGGCCCCCAGTGGCGCACAGGACCGGAATGTCGGGCAGGAGCGAAAGAAGCCCTATACCCAACAGTTGGTAACACAGGGCTAAAATTGATGATGATATTATTCAATGCTATAGCAATCAATAGTTACAGTTTAAAAAAGTGGTAGATTAAACAGTAGCTGAGTGTACCGCAAAAAAGCCGTACGGTAACGCTCAAATCATCATCATCATATCTGCCGTCTTTATCATAAACAACGTAATCGACGTTTTGAGCTAAATTGTGTTATTAACATATCTGGAAACAGCGACACGAGATCTGCATCACCTATAAACGGGGATTTTTTATATTTTATTTAGTTTCAGTTTTATTGCTTGCAAAATCAACGAAATGGACATCTTCAAAGAAAAAAAATTTTGGTGCTAAAATAGACATGCGTTGTTTATAACAAGGCGTTTGTTTGTTTATAACATTATAAAATATTAAACAATCCCATCCGATAAAAAGGGTTAATCGTTATGATGTCTTTGATATAATGGATAAATACGATAACAATATTTTTAGTATAGTCGCTGTGTTGATACCATATAACTATACAAAAAATTTATTTATTTAATTGGCAAACCGACAGAATTACATATAATGCTTATACTAGAGGTTACATTCTGCATTGTTCTTATATGTATTCCGGTTACAGCTCAATACTCAACCAAATGCTGACTTAGAAAGTTATAAAAACTATAAATATTTATAATTTTTTAACATAATAATTGAAATACATTTACGAAAATGAAATTAAATTTAAATAAATAATAAAATTAAAAATGACATATACTAGTAGTTATTATAATATAAATATTCAAAACTTCCCGTAAACGTGGGAATTTCAATTACTAATACGATGTATGCATTGCGTGCATTTGTTTGTTGTTATTACAATCTTCGATACTGTTGCACAAAATTGTCATTGTATTCTGTGTAATCATAAAGTTACTTCGCTAACGCTATGGGCTTGACTGTTTGTAAACAATACATTACTTCATAATACATACGTCACTATTCTGTATTTAGTTCTAATTCTCTCTCTCTCTCTCTAAATCTACTTGCACTGGGAACTCCCAAGTTCTTAGAAGTTATGTAATATATTAATTATTTCTAATTTTCCTTATAAGATTTTATTGGAATGCTACTTAGAGGAGTATTGATGTCATTGTTTGATGTTATGAAATTTTAGAATACTTCAAGGACGTAACAATACCATCTTTGTATATTAAAGTAAAAGATAAGAATAAAGATTATGTATTTAAAAAATATATGTATATTAATATTTAAACAGAAACTCTCTAAAGATATAAGATTGAGATTAAAAATAGAACTTGGCTTAAAAATCTTGGCACCCAAGTCAGGAGCTTCGGTGAAAAAGTTTATGCAAAGATCTGAACCGATACGTACCTGCCGTATTAATATTAGAAATCCCATGAAGCACGTCTTGGCAAGGCTTGGTGTGTTTCGACCAGTCCTTTTCTTTTACGTTGAATTGTGCAGCGGCAAGCAAATTCTTGGAGTCTGGTAGAATCCTAGGTATATCTTGCTCCACTTTCGTATTGTCAAATAAATTTTCTGGCTTTGGATAGCGGATGTAGAAGAATGAGTCTTCTGGTGCTGGAGGCGAACTGGCAAACGGTTCAAACTCTCTGCAAAAAAAAATAGTTCGATGACAAATTTTCTTCACAAAAGTTAACAAGAGACGTTATGTAAAACACTCACGAAACCAATAAAGCGTTAACTTGCGTCATCAAATTCCCTTTCCGAAACATTTTTATGTTTTAAACAAACAATAGTAAATCACAAAGCCACGGATTATCTGCGGTGATTTATTTATAACGCACTCGAGAAATGGCAGCACGAATTTCAGATTCTTTACAAAAGATGGCGCTTGTTACACACTGTAACGCGTACTGAAACCTATTGAGCTGCACTTTTCTTTTTTATACAGAACATGTAACTATATTTTGTATAACAGTTTGTTTAAGTATAATCTTATCGCGATAACATTACAGAATGAACGAAAACACAGTTGAAAAACAACTCACACCACATTATAACGTCACGATTATTCGGCCAATGAGCGAGTGCCGTTGACGCACTCCCCCGGTTTCAAACCACATGACTGAATGTCTAGAGGTCAAAGACAGAAGCTCGGAATAGCGACGTAGAGAATTCATTACAAACGCAATTTAGCACATTATGAGAATACTGTTAAAAAAATTACGCTGTCAAAATTAGATTGTTATGTCATGTGGATTGGCAGAATCCGGGTAAACAATTGCCGGCATTAAAACTTTAGAATTCGATGCAACTGTTCTAACATACCACTCTATGAACCCTAACCTTAAAGAAAATACAGTATGCAATGGGAACACACACACTTATCGCACATACATTTGGGACAAACACATTTTGATTTGCCATCTATATGCAAAAAAGAATGTGTGACTTTACAATTAATCAAACCACAATTAATTTTACAAATAACAAATGCATTATTAAAGCTATGGATATACATAAAGTACGATAGGAAAAAATATTGAGCAAAAACTTGAGAATTGTTAATAGATGATGCCTAGAAAGGAAATAGTAAAAAGAAGTGGAATGAAACTTTACTGTTTATTTCATGTGTAAAACACCGGAAGCATTAAATTTACCTAATCTATTACAAGTCAACCTATTCTTTCACAAAATTCCCGTCAATTGTAAACATAAAATATTTAATTTCTGATAAAAAATTTTCACGACACAAGAGCAATAAAGTAAATGGCGAAATGAATAAAAGCTGGTGAAAAACAAATCTTCTTGTTTGTAAAATAAACATCAGCAGAATCAATGTTATGAAAGATAAGAATGGAAAATTATGTGATTATCCTTGGATTATTAAACATTTAGATTAATCATACACGCCGTTACATTTTTTAAGCACGCATTTGGTATACACGCTACGCATAAGATTTGGTGTATTCAAATACAACATCGGAAATCAACATGGACGTCTATCTCATAAAATGCAATTTGCCTTGAAAACAACACACTTAAAACTTTCAAAGTACATAATGTACCTTTACTGCAATGCGGTACATCTTTTACTGAGCTCTAATCTAAATCTAAGTCAATGTGAAAAGTCACAATACACATGCAACAATAATTATAAATAAAATAATAAATTCGTCAACGTTGCTGGGCTTCACTTATTTAGTAGATTTACACAATAAGTATATAAATTGTAATGTTTGTCATAACAAATTTACTTAAATACAATGATGACATATTTTTCTAACCGTATCATCTATAATTTTGTTCAAATAAAGTCATACTACATAGGTCCTTTTTTGTAGTATTTTTTTCTAGCAGTTTTCAGAGTTTATATTGGTGTGAAATGTAGTAATCAAATAAGATTACGTTATTACAAAATTAATAAGTGATTTCTTCAAGTCTCAAATCCAAAAGACTTGCCATGGACTCTCCACAAGACTAGATTTCTTCTCCACTGAGCCTTGCTTTGATCAAATATCTACCTACAACTGAGGTGTCATCAGCATACCCGAAGGTACCTGGAATTTTCTAGCACTTATTATTATTATAATCATTCATTTTTACGGTTTATTTTGGTAAATAGTGTAGTAAGCAACTAAGGTTACGTCATTACAAGTTAATAAGCGATTTCGCTAATAGCCGATGTCATTAGTACTCATTACCTTAAGTGCTGAACTGATAACGACTAAGTGATTGTCCATCATTATTTATTTAGTACTAATAATACTAGTAGTTACTCTACTGCACTACATTTTCGCGGTTTGCATTGTGTAAAATGTAATAAGCAATTAGATTACGTCATTACAAAAACAAGTGATTTCCCTAATATCCTATGTCATTATCCCAAGCATCCCGAATGATAACAATCTGGTGTTTGCATTTTTTTTTCAAGCACTGATTGTTAGGGTGACAATTTTCAGGGGTTTTTACTATTAATATTAGTGTTATAAGCAATTAATATTACATCATTACAAGTACAATTAGTGATTTCGCTGATATCCTGTGTCATTACCCCAAGTGTCGAGCTGATAATGATTTGGGACAAACAAGTCATAAAAAAACCTGTTGACAAGGGTCACAAGTAAATGCCTATACTTACTGAAAAATATTTACCTACAAAAAATAATCTAAAGGCGTGTCATTGAGCACATATCTATGTTAAAGTTGACAGGCAATAATTTCGTATAAACAATGTATTAAAGTTCCGAACGTACTGGTGATAGTACTGATGAGTACAAACAGTTTTAGAAAAAATTGCTCGTCACCTTCGGGTTTTACAAAGGAATACACAATTGTTTTTTTTAACAACCTATATTTAACAAATAACACGCGATAAAAAGTTCGATATGTCAAAAAAATTAGAAATTCTTAAGAATCTCAAGTTGTTTTTATGACAAACATGAAAAGAATTTCAAGTGGTTCACCAACATCGGATAGACATACTTTCCATAACCTCAAAATCTATAAATTTCCACCAGATGGAAACATACTTCTTACATGTAATGATTCATATAAAACACCTGAGTACCTGATACCAAAAATCATGACGACCTCGCTTATCAGTGTGACTTGAAATCAAGACAAACAACTCAGTCATTTTCGCAGTGATAAACAAAAAGTGGTTATTATTAAATTTCAATACTTTTGCGATGGAAATAAAAACTTATAAAAGACATTGGAAATGAAATCGGATCTAAATCTTTATAGGTTTCAGCCGCGACCATGAGACCTGTAAAGAGCCCGAAGCGTTGATTTGTTTGAAAAAGCAAATATGAGCGATTAAGATCCGAAAAAATACTTTCATTGCCAATGTGTGGCAATCGCAAAAAAACCTATGAACTTTATAAAAGACAATTAATACAAATTATAATTATCATCTAGAAAAAAACATCAGGATATTGACCTGGTCTGAACATACCTAATCTAAATAACAAAAACATGTATCAAATTATATTCGAAAACGTTATTTTTTTAGTACTTTTATTCGTTTCTGTCCTCCACGTACTACATTGACTCATTCAGGGCACGAGGACGTGCTCTAAAACCATTACGTATTATTTTGTTCTTTTGTCGTTTTTTATTTACCCCCTGAAGCTTTTCCATGGCATTACATGTATATCATAAAGTGTGTTTACTTTAGTAGAAAAGTTAACAAAGCACTTCAGAATTGTTCAGTTCTAATCTAAGTTACAATGGCTTATAAGAAAGTAAATAGTTCTGTGAAAATGTTGTGAAACAATGGTAAAATCTTCACGTCAATGTCCTGTCTCACACATCTGCATCAAGAGACTTAATCTTTATTATTAAACAATATTACATCATCGTATTACCTTAGAAGTCCGCTGCTATGTAACACATACATATAGACGATTTTGCATAATATTTATATTACAAATACAAGAACATTCCCTGTTAATTTGTCAGCACTGGTATTACTGTCTTTGTTGTGATCCTGTGTATCCTCCACACCAATGACTCATTCAGGGCATGAGCTTGAGCACGTGCGCTAAAACTATTATATATTGTGTTCTTTTGTTCTGTTTTTTTATTTAAAACCTGAAGCTTTTCCGTGGCATTAGAAGATGTTTATCAAAAAGTGTGTTTAGTTTAGTAGAAAAGTTAACAAAGAGTTTCAGTGAATTATTTGTTCCAATCAAAATGAAAAAAAAAAGAAGTGTCAAACACTAACACATTAGTATCAATTCAGAATATATAAATAGAATCAGTATTATGTCCGAACGCATAAAGAATAAACATATTTTTGCCCGACAACTCGTGTTAACTCTGTCACAACGTCACCAAATATTGATTGATCTATGTGACGTCACGCGACCTTCGATGTCGTCTGCCTTTATTATATCTAGCTTTTACAGTGGTTTTAAATAGATGTTATAAATATGCAAAGTTTGTATCTTATAAAATCAGATTTTTTCCTTCTTATTTGATGTCAATTTGTTTGTGTTTATAGAGACAGATTTTACCGAGAAACGACCTTCCAATTCTGTAATGCTCTTAGCTGCTACATACTTTCCTATCTAATAAAAAGCACCTGTGTAGATGCATCTCTATCTTACAAGTCAACATTTGCATACAATTGATCACGTGATATAAATCCTTACATAATTAGTTAACCAACTAAATTCGTCTTCAATCGATAACAATATTATGTTATTATTTTTATACACATTATACGTGCATGTAGGCGGCTATGCTTGCAGTATGGTGTATTATCACACTTGAATCATATGGAACATTAAAGTTAATTCTTGCAAACACGAACCAACCAATTAAATCTGATATTTTCCATTGCATACACAGAGATGAGAATATAGAACCATAGTGTGCACAAATCATTTTGATTACTCTTTCCAGGGGGCCTACCACAACCTCGTAAAACAATATTATTTTAACCTTACATTGACTTTTCGTACCATAACGCGCTTAAAGTATGCTTATTGTAATGTTAAAACTATGATGTTTTATTGGCAGTTTTGTGACTATTCATTTACTCAGTTCGTACTATGACGCGACTTTAACATTAAAGTAATATTGCTCTTATGTCAAATTTAGCAATCTTAAAACGGATGCAATGGAAACAATATTATTT